CAACTCTTATTGTGACCTAGGAAAAAAAAAAAAAAAACGCTCACAAAAGCCTCTGTTTGGTCTGTACCTGGCATATACTTCCACACTGGAGGGAACGGAATATAACCCATGTGCCCCTCCACCCCAAGACCAGGGCTGACCAGACTAAGGGGACTCCCTCTCTCCTCCTCCTCCTCCTCCTGCAGCAACACATTGCAAAGTACTTTGTTTGTTCATTTGGTTTTTATTGGTAAAAGTTTACTGCCATGCTGGTGCAGCTAAGGAAACTGTCTGGAAGGCTTGGAATGGTTTATTGCTTATGGTAAAATTTGCCTGATTTCTTACAGGCAGCGTTTGGAAACTTTTTATTATATAGTTGTTTACATACTTATAAGTCTATCATTTAAAGACATGTACTGAAACAAATGTATTTGTTTCATAAGCATCTTCCTGTAATCTATTATAAAGTTGAAATTAAATATAGAGAATGTTTTAACAGTTTTTTAACTCAAAATTTGTCAATCATTTTTAATAGTTCTTTTTTTATAAAAAGAAAAAGGAATTTAAGGACAGGCAGCAGTCTCTTTCAGAGTTTATTCACAAAACCCATTAACTGCACAGTTGCTGTTAGCTGCCTGTTCTGAATCAATAGTCTTTTTATTGAAACACAAATAGACTTTTCTGTAATATTTTATGGAATATAAAGAGACTTTAATTGTTTGACTTGTTTAACTTGGCACTGTTAGTTTTTATTAATAAAACGCGCATGGGCATTTTAAACACGTTCTGTGTTTCTCTGCTCTGGGACTGCTGTCTGTACATTTTTCCATCGTGTGTCTTGCTTTCCACTTGAGTGAAGAGCAGGTTGTGAGACCCCGGAGTGGCATGCCTGGCCAGTCCCTGGGGGCATGCAGCCCCTGCCCATCTGGCGTGGTCAGAGGCAGGGGTGGCCAGGGAATGAGGTCATGGTGGACACGGGGGCACAGGGCTGCCTTGCTTTCCGGGTGCTCATGCTCGAGGGAAGGTGTGTTCCTTGACTTTTTCCACGGTCCCAAAAACGGAGAGAGATTTTACAGGCTTGGCTTTTAGAAAAAGTTAGATTGGGAGAGGATCCTGGGAGGATGATGCGATGGGAGACACCAGGACCCCATCTCCCTAGCTGGATGCCTATTGCACTGGCAGCTTCTGCCCGATGCCCGTCTGTAACTCTGGAGTCCACTGAAGGCCTACAACTTCCAGGGGAGGCTTGGTCAGTACATCGGTCCATTGTGGTCAAGTTTAGCTCCTCGTTGCCGCATCCCTCCCTTTGTTTTTCTCCTTCGCCTTTTGGGAGCAAGGCATGGAGGCCTCAGACATGCAGAAGCAGCTGTGCATGTGGGGGGAGTTGGAAAGTGGCAGTGCCTGCCCAGGAAAAGGCCCCGGAAAGACCTGGAAGACCTTGCGTGGGCACCGCGGCTGACCCTTGGCACAGAGAAGCCTGCAGCTGTCAGCACGCCGTCAGCAAAAGTACCAACCATGTCCCAAACCAGCAAACCCTGGAGAGCAGGAGACCTGCTTCTCAGAGTGGCCATGTCAGTAGAGTCAGATATCCAGTTTCCAGCAAGAAATGACAAAGCATTCAGCAAAACAGAAATGTGTGGCCCATCTAAAAGGGTGAGGAAACACCCAGAAACACTCCCTGTGAAGATCTGATGGCAGGTGGACCAGACAGACTCTTAAAGAGAAGCGTTGATGAAGCCAACGTCTGGGAAGATGTGGAAACTGTCAAGACGATAGTATGAACAAGCTGGAATAAGGAGATTAGCAAACCTACAAAGAAGCCAGAAATTCTGGAGCCAAAGAGTAGAGCAACTGACATGAAAAGTGTGTTAGTGATTCAAAAGCAATGACTTAGCAAACTTGTGGTAGAACAGTGGAAAGCATTCAGTCTGAGGAACAGTAAGATTGAAGAAAAGTGACCAGTGTCTAGGGGATATTCGGGACACATTCCAACTGACCAATGCACACATTGTGGGAGTCTCGGAAGGATAAAAGAGTAAGAAAGGGGCAGAGAAAATATTTGAACAGGATAATGTCTGAAAGAAAGTTCACCAAGTTTGATGAAAGACCTGAATATAAACATCCAAGAAGCTTCATGACGCCAAGTAAGATCAACTCGAAGAGACCCCTCACTGAGACGCTGTAGCTCATTAAACTCTTGAAAGAGAATCTTGAAAGCAGCCAGAGAGGAACAACACATCACATACAAGGGATCCCCAATAAGACTGTCTGTTGATTTTTCATCAGAAACTGGAGGCCACAAGGCAGTGGGCCAGTATAGTCACACACACACATACAAATGTCTGCCAGGAATCCTATATCCAATGCAAAAATGTCCTTCAGAAGTGAGGGAGAAGTTAAGACACTGCCAGATAAGCAAAAACTGAAGGATTTCGTTACCGCTAGACCTGCCCTGCAATAGACAATTGAGGTCCTGCAGGGTGAAATAAAAAGATGCTAGACAGTAACTCAAAGCCATAGGGAAAAATCAGATCTCAAGGTAAAAACATGAACAACTGTTAAAGCTACTCATTTGTTTTGTTTTGCTTGGAGTTGGGTTCTCACTCTGTCTGGAATGCAGTGACATGATCATGGCTCACTGCCACCCCAGCCTCCTGGGCTCAGGCAATCCTACCTCCTCAGCCTCCCAAGCAGCTGGAACCATAGGCACATGTCAGCACGTTGCACTAATCTTTTGATTTTTTTTTTTTTTTTTTTAGAGACAAGGTCTTGGTATGTTGCCTAGGCTGGTCTTGAACTCCTTCCTCCTTGGCCTCCCAAAGTGCTGGGATAACAGGTGTGAGCCATGGCGACCAGCTAAAGTTAGTATTTTAAGAACAGTTCTCCAACTTGGTGAGACCGCATCTCTACAATAAATCAAAAACTAGCCGGGCGCCTGTAGTTTGGCTACTTGGAAGGCTGAGGCGGAAGGATCGCCGGAGCCCAGCAGGTCGAGGCTGCAGTGGCTGGGAGTGGCCATTGCACTCCAGTCTGAGTGACAGTGAGACTCCAACTCAAAAAAAAAAAAGAATAGTTCTCAATCCCACTTTTTGTTTTCTACATGATTTAAGAGACCAATGCATTTAAAAGGAGCGTTTGGCTTTGAATGTGCAGCGTGCTAAGAGGGAGTTTTGTGAATCCGCAACCTAAAGGGTGAACAAGGAGTTGGACGTTTGCCATCGAAGTGAAGCTGGTGTGAATTCAGATTCGTGCATTAACTTTATTTATTTAACTTTTTTTTTAGAAAGCAGGATTTATTGAGAGGACAGAAAAGCTTCCACAGTGGGAGGGGACCCGAGGGGGTTGCCCTGTGTTGTAACTTTAGAATGTTAAATGTAATTCCCGTGGTCACTGCAAAGACCATTGCTATAGAATTTACACCAAAGGAAATGAGAAGGGAACTTAAACATGAACTACAAAAAAACCCCAACCAAGCGCAAAGGAAGACAGTGGTGCAGGAGGTGAGGGGCAAACAGCCGAGACGCTCGAGGGTATGTGGAAAAGTGCCGGGTGACAGAAGTCCTTCCTTCCCAGTGGCTAGCTGTAAGCGGGTTAAGTTCTCCAGTCAAGAGGGTGGATAAAAACACGCAAGCAACCTATATGTTGTCTGCAAGATACTCTATAACCCAGACAAAGGGGTGGAAAGTAAAAGCATAGAAAGCGATATTCCTTACAGATAGAAACCAAGAGAGCAGGGGCAGCTATACTGATAATAGACAAAATAGATTAAATAAAAAATACTGTAAGAGGCAAAGGACGTTATATATTGATAAAAGGCTCACACACCTAATGACAGACTGTCAAGAAACATGAGGCAAAACAGCGTGAGGTGATTTTTTTCATTGCCGTTGGAGGTGTCGATGCCCCACACTCAGGAATGGATCGAGCAACTGGACAGAAGGTAAGTCAGGAAGCAGAGTGGGCTGTAAGCCCCCTAGGTCTCACAGACGTATCTAGAGAGAGCACTCTGCCCAACAGCATACGTGCTCTTAAGTTCCCATGGAACATCTCCAGATTGCAAATTCAGTGCCAATAGGTTTAATAAGATAGGTGTCACACAAAGTATCTTTTCTGACCACCAGGAGATAACTTAAAACTGAAAAATTCTCTGAATTATGAAAATTAACACACCCCTAAAAATGAATAAAGAGGAAATCACAAAGGAAGTTACAAAATTCTTAGAGACAAGTGAAAATGAAATATCCAAACTTATGAGATGTAGCAAAAGCGGCAACAAGGGGCAAACTCATAGCTACAAACACTGAAAAACAATGATTTAAAAGCAACAACTAGCTTTACAAGTTCAGGGACTAGAAAAATGTCAAACTGAACCCATAGCAGGAGGAAGAAAATAAGAAAGATTAGAACACAGCTAAAGCAGAGGAGAGAAAAACAATGGAGAAAATGATGCAAAAAGTGGTTCTTGGATCAGTAAAACTAACAAATCCCTAGCTAGATGTACTAAGAAAAATAAGATTTGCATTACTAAAATCAGAAATGAAAATGGGTACCTTGTTGCTGGCTCTACAGAAATAAAAAGAATTGTGAGAGGATCGTAGCAATTGTACATCAAGACGTTTAAAAACCTAGATGAAACAGGTAAGTTCCCAGAAACAAAACCCACCAAGACTCAAATCAGAAAAAAATAAAACATTTGAATAGACTTTCCAGTAAGGAGATTGAGTCAGTCCTTAAACAAAGTGGCTTGACAAATGCTTTGGATCTAATGGCTTCACTGGTGAATTCTTCCAAACATTCAAAGAATAACTAACACCAGTTCTCAAATATTTTGTAAAAATTGGGAAGGAGCGAATACATTCTAACTCAGGCTATGAGGCACCCTTATATCAACACTAAAGACACCACAAGTAAAAAATGCCAGTATGCCTTATGAACACTGATGCAAAAACCCTCAACAAAATGCTAGCAAATGAAATGTAGCAGTATGCTTTAAAATTATACACTGTGACCTAGCAGGATTTATTTTGGGACCGCTGAGATGGTCCAACTCATAAAAATCAATCAATGTAACACACACATAAACAGAAGGAAGGGAAAAAGTTACGCAAGCATCTCAATTTTTCATTTTTAAACCATGATTAAAAGATGGGGTCTCTAAAAAAGTTCTCAGAACGAATAAGTTTACAGGATATAAAGTAAACAGAAAATCAGGTGCACTTCTGTGCACTAACTGTGAAAATCTGAAAAGGGAATTAAGAAAACAATTCCATTTACAATAGCATCAAAAGAATAAAATAGGAATTAACTTAGCCGAGGAGGTGAAGGACTTGTATGCCAGAAACTACAAAACATTATGGAAAGAAAGAAGACAAGCAAATGGAAACATCCCATTGTTATGGGTGGGAAGACGATGTTATTAAGATGTTAATATATTAGCCGGCTCGGTGGCTCAGGCTGTAATCCCTCGCCTTTGGGAGGCTGAGGTGAGTGGAATGCCTGAGCCCGCGGGTTTGAGACCCGCCTGGGCAGTGAGACCTCATCTCTACAATAAATCAAAAAATCAGCCGGGCGTGGTGGCGCATGCCTGTAATTCCGGCTACTTGGAAGGCTGAAGCGGAAGGATTGCCGGAGCCCAGCAGGTCGAGGCTGCGGTGGCCGGGAGCGGCCACTGCACTCCAGTCTGGGCGACAGAGTGAGACTCCGACTCAAAAAAAAAAGATGTTAATATTGACGAGGCGCGGTGGCTCAGCCTGTCATCCCAGCACTTTGGGAGGCTGAGGCGAGAGGGTTGCCTGAGCCTGTGGATGTGGGTTCGAGACCATTCTGGGCAACTTGGCAAGGCCTCGTCTCTACAATAAACCACACGAAAAACTAGCTGAACATGGTGGTGTGCATGTGTAGTTCCAGCTCCTTGGAAGGCTGAGGTGGAAGGCTCGCCTGTGTCCAGCAGGTGGAGGCTTCGGTAACTGTGAGCGTGCCGCTGCACTCCAGCCTGGGCAACAAGAGTGAGACTTCAACTCAAAAAAAAATGTCAATACCACCCAACATAATCTGTAGATTTGACACAATCCCTCTTAAAATCCCAATGCTGTTTTCTGCAGAAAAAAACCTCCATTAAAATTCACATGCACTTTCAAGGGGACCTGAATAGCAAAACAGTCTTGCAAGTTGGAAGATTCACACTTCCTGGTTTCAGAACTTACTGCAAATCTACAACAGCAAAAACAGATGGGTGATGGCATCAACAGACATATAGGGGACTCAGGAAACAACCCTCGCCCGCACAGTCGAGCGATGCTGGCAATGGCCAGGGCCATCCAAGGGGAGGGAGTCTTCTTCACCAAGGTGCTGGCAACGCTGATGGCCCACATGCAGAAGAGTTAAGTTGGACTTTTGCCTAACACCAAGTGCAGAATGACCACGTGGTGACTCTACGTGAGGCCTGAAACTATAAAACTGTCGGAAGGAAACAGGACAAAAGCCTCAGGACATTCTGAATATGACACCTCATTGCCAGTGACTTTCTGAATATGATACCAAAGGCCACACACACAAAAACAGACAATGTGGACTTCATGACGTGCAAAAGCATTAAAAGACACCCTCGGCAAACCAGAGCGGCCGACCACAGCACAGGGGAAGATGCCCCAAGCCCTGGGTCCGACAGGGAATTGGTACCGGGACATTCAGGGAGCGCTGACCACTCTCGACAGACACCCGGCTTCACAGTGCTCGGGGCCTGGGAGGCCTTTCCAGAGATCCCCAGGTGCTGATGCAAACAGGAGGTGCTCAGCCTCACTCCGCTGGGCAGACGCCCACCGGAACTGCCAACAGAAGGCCGCGGCATGGGAGGGCTGGCGGAGTGAGCCCAGCGGGGGCGGGTGTTGGCGGGCTTGTCGAATGGTGCCGCCCTCAGAAAACCCCAGAGCTCCTCCTCGGAGAACGAAGGCTAGGACTGCCATGTGGTCCAGCCGTGCCGCTGCTGGGCGCCCTCCAGGGAACTGGTCGCGGGGGCTCGGAGGCGGCCTGTGCCCGTGTCCACAGCCGCACTGGTCACGTGGCCAGCGAGGAACAGGCCAGGCGTCCCTCAGCATGGGAGCGGAGTGCAAGGCGTCGCGTGTGCCGACAGCGGGGCGTGGCCCTCGGCAAAGCGGGTCTGAACCTGCCACGGCGTGGGCGTGCCTTGGAACGTGCCAAGCACAGAAAGGCAAGTACGGTCGGGTCTCACGTCTACGGAGTTCCCAGAGTCGTCGCACTCACGGAGACAGGGTCAAACTCGTGGAGAGGGATGCTGGGTGCCGGGCTGCGGGAGGGGGCCGGGGCGACTCCTGGGGGGGCTGCGACGTCTGGAGGGGGGGTGGTGTGGCGGCTGCACCCGGGAATGCGCACAGCAACACGGCTGAGCCGGCAGGTGTTGGGCCGCGCGTTTTGCCACCGTGACAAAAACGGAGAAAGTGTAAGGTGTGGAGGAGAGAGCGTTTTATTTGAGATGCTGAATAAAGCAGTGACTGTTTCAGCAAATCACTGTGGCTTTAGAAGTCAGTCGCTTGGCCGAAGGAGGTGGAAACCAGCCCGTTTTCCTCCTCTTGAAGCACTCCATCGTTTTCTTTCATTGTTTGGAAACAGTGTTGCTCCGTCATCCAGGCTGGAGCGCAGTGGCACGATCACAGCTCACTGCAGCCCTGCATTCCTGGGATGGAGCGATCCTCCCCGCTCCGCCTCCCAGGCTGTGGGACTGCAGGCGTGGAACCACCATGCCCGGCCAATGTTTACTTTTTGTGGAGATGAAGTCTTGCTTTGCTGCCCAGGCTGGTCTCAGCCTCCTGGGCTCAAGCAGTCCTCCTGCCTCAGCCTCCCGAAGTGCCGGGATGACAGGTGGAGCCGACGCCCTGGACTCCTCTGTCTTGGGCACGTGGAACAGACGCATGGCGTCGGAGAGCTCCGTGGGGGGGAAGGGGCCGCCGGCGCTGCGCTTCCTGCGCCTGTTTCTTCCACTCTGAAGCGGGCGGGGCAGAGCAGCTCAGAGCGTCCCTCAGAAAGGGATCTGGCAGCCCATGGCGGAGGCTCGCTGCAGCCCAGGCATTTGAGGCCAGCCTGGGCTGCAAGCGAGACCCGTCTCTAAAGAAGGAACAGGGCTCAGGGGTCTGTGGAGAGGCTGGGGGTGCTGGCTGGCTGCTGTGGGCCCGGAGAGGGGTCTGGGTGGCCATGGGAGGAGGTGGCCGTGTCGTGGGCGCTGGGCAGCTCTGATGGGCGCCAGCGGGTGGGTCTTGGGCATCTGGGGGGATGTCTGATGACCCTCGTAGCTCTGGGTGTCTCCTGGGGTAGCCTCACCTCTGACCTCTGACCCCAGCATGACATGCCCCGAGGTGACCCGGGCGTCCCCCACACAAGCCCGTGTTCCTCATACACGGCCGAGAGCAACAGCCGGCGGGACACTCCGGCGAGGCAGGCGGTTTCCTCCGTGTGGGGCACCGCCCTTTCCTCTGGTGGGGTCCTGGCCTCTGGGGGCCACCTCCGCCCTCCCCAGGGCCCTGGGCCTCTCGGAGCCTCCGTGGGTGACCGCCTCTGGCCCGCGGCCTGCAGGGCCCGTGCGGTGGCTCTTCTTTGTCCTGAGAGGCAAGAGGCAACCTGGCGCTAAGAGTTCGGCGTCCAGGCCCAAATCTCCTCCCTGGACATCCGAGGCAGAGGCCGGATCCCCCACCCCCGGCCTCCCCAGGCACTCACAGGATGCTGCCCGGGCCTCGCTAGGGAGCCGTCGGAGCTTGTTGACTCCAGTGTGGCCCCTGCTTACCCCGCCTCGGCACGCCCCCCTGTCCCCTGGGCCCGAGCGAGTCCCGGTCACCTCCAGCCCCAGGCGCGACAGGGCAGCTTCACGTGCAGGGGCCTCCCGGGTCCCCTCAAGCGCGCTGCTCCAGCCTAGGGAGCGCCTGCCCTCAGCGAGACCCGGGGCTCGCGAGGCAGTCCACGTCCGTGTCGCCACGTGGCGACATCCAGGTTGGCAGAGTCGCTCGCGCAGTGAGTAAACTGCATCCGTGAGCCTCGCAGGGCTGGGCAAGCCTTCCTTCCCTCGGCTTTTCCATGCCGCGGCCCTGGGCGGACGCGGCTCCCCGGGCCGTCCCTGCTCTGGCTCTCATGGTGCTGACGGCCACGCCCGCGTCAGAGCCAGGCCTCGGGCCTCGCCGTCCCAGGGAGGAGCGCATGGCCTTTGGCGAGGCGGGCTCGCCCGCTGAGGAGAACGTTGTCACTGCAGTGCTTGGGAAGGGGCTGGAGTTGCCAGCCACGCCCTGGGCCAGGAGGAGGGACTGGCCCCAGTGAGAGGAAGGTCAGTGCTCACGATCACTTTGGCTTTGGAGTCGCTTGGGCTGGTGACATCCCGTCCCGACCCCGAGTGCCTTGGAGTCCGTCGAGTGGGTGACGTGCCCTCCCCTCCAGGTGACAGCCCCTCCCCAACACAGGGCTGGCTTTTCTCTGACTTCCAGTTGCAACCTGAATCAACGGGATTTTTTCGGAAGGACACGGCTGGTGTCAGTTATTTTTCCCTTGATATCAGGAAAGACTTGACCTTTTTTTACATAAAAGCAGGGTAATGGATTGGATTTTATTTTGCAGCTCAGGACTGCGTTTCTGAAGAAAGAGTCCAGGTGCTTGTTGCCATCGGCAGCCCCCAGGCCACGGGTGGCTTATACGGACACGGCAGCCGCTCACTCAGACGTGCGGGGGGGGCTGTGGCATAGGGTGGGATGTCTGTGTGGGGGTGACGGACCGTGCTGCATGCGGTCTTGCTGTCTAACCAGCCACGAGGACGCCCTCAGGAACAGCGCGTGCGCACGTCGGGCGCGGGAG